GGGCCTTTGGCACCCTGAGGTAGCTGCAGCTGTCCTCTTAGTCTGCTGATGTTAAATTTGCACTCACTGATTTTAGAGTCATACTTTGATATCATATTCCTTGGATAAACCTGGCATTCCTAATCCAGGTTGAAGGGACACGAGCCCACTTGAGCACGTGGCTCTGGCAGGCCTTGCTGAAAACCCTTCGATTAGGGTCCTAAAGCTAGCCACCAAGGTCTATCCCCTTTTTTGTCACTTCCTCCTCCTGAAGTTGACTGCCGAGATCTGGCAATCAGAAGCCCCCTTTGGCTCACCAAATTAACACGCCCAATTAAAATCAAACATCTCATCCTGACACAGGGTTTCCCATTTTACCTTTATAAACGGCCATTTTCCTAGGGACCACATCTGTCTCCTCTCTATCCAGAGGCAGTCCTTTACCCCTCTGGGACAAATGTCCCTGCCCTTTCCTAGCCCCCTTCCCCATCTTCCTCCTCCTCCTCGATCTCGTTTACCAGGGCATCCTAGCGCATCCTAATACAGACCTCCCCTTTTCTCTTGAAAATCACACCTGCAAAGTCATTTGCTGCTGTTTTTCTGCCTGAGCCAGAAAGCAGCCACTTAACTTTTCTTCCCCACTTAATAAAGGATCTCTCTGTGAAAACAGGGGTTTAGCTGCGGTTTGTGCCTAACTGGGGTCCGGGAGGAAGCCCCCACCGTGGTGGTGGGGTCTCCTTCAAAAGTATTGTGTCTTTTTTTGTATAATTCTGGATTTGATTTCTTAGCTTTTATTTAGAGTAGTTGTGTGGGGCTCATTAAAGGTATCATTCAGTCATCTTTTGTTTTTGCAATGTCATTTGTAGGTCTGATATTAGGATTATGTGTCTCTCAAATCAAGTTGGGTGGGGCATAGTGGCGCCCGCCTTTAGTCCCAGCACTCAGGAGGCAGAGGCAGGTGGATCTTTGTGAGTTTGAGGCCAGCCTGGGCTACAGAGCGAGTTCCAGGACAGACTAGGGCCGTATAAAGAAACCCTGTCTCAAACAAACAAATTGGATGAGGCATGATGATACACAATCCTAACACTTGGGAGGCTGAGGCAGGAGGATTTCTACTTAGAGGGCAGTCTAGGCCACATAGTAAGAGCATGTCTCAAAGCAAAAAAACAAAACAAAAAACTGAAGTTGGAAAGTATTCTTTTCCCACTGTTTAAATGCTCTTGAAGAATATGTTTCTTCCTTAATCATCTCGGTAGTTGGCAAAGCCATCTGCAAATGGAGTTTCCTTAGTGGGAAGCTTTAATTACAGATTCGGTTTATAGCTCTGTTCAGATGTTTTTCTTTCTTTCATATCCGTTTTATTTACTTGTGTTTTCCAAAGAACTTGCTAATTTCGTTCCATATTGTTCAATGTGGGATGAGACATGAGGATTTCTTGAGCCCAGGATTTTTGAGCCAGCCTAAGAAACACAGCAAGAATCAATGTTCCTCCCCAGCCTCCATGCTCCCCCCTCCCCCCACCTCACTGTGTACACCAGGCTGGCCTCAAACTCATAGATCCTCTTCCCTCTGCTTCCTGAGTGCTGAGATCTATGTGAGTCTGAGGCCAGCCTAGGCTACAGAGTGAGTTCCAGGAAAGGCGCCAAAGCTAAGCAGAAAAACCCTGTCTCGAAAAACAAAACAAACAAACAAAATTTAAGGCTTAAGCCTGGCTGTGGTGGTACATCTCTTTAATCTCAGCACTCTGGAGGCAGAGGCAAGTGGACTATGAGTTCAAAGCCAGCCCGGTCTACAGAGTGAGTTCCAGGCTCTCTGTGACAGCCAGAGCTGTTACAGAGAGAAATTCTGTCTAGAAAAACAAAATAAAACAAAAACAACAACAATAAAAAGATATATCATCTTATCATTTCACAATGTAGCAATATTCTAATTTTTATTTCTTCTTCCTTTTCTGTTTTGCTTTTGGGTTTTTGTTTTGTTTTGTTTGTTACAGAGTTTCTCTGTGTAGTCCTGGAATTTGACTCTGCTTCCCAGAGCTGGGATTAAAGACCTACACTACCACCTGGCTAAAATAAGTCTGTCACTGGGTGTTCAAGGCCAGCCTGGTTACAGAGCAAGTTTCAGGACAGCCAGGGCTACTCAGAGAAACCCTGTGTCCAGAAAACAAAACAAAAAACTCCAAAGATTTATTTTATTATTTGTGTGTGTGTGTGTGTGTGTGTGTGTGTGTGTGTGTGTGTGTGTGTAGGTCAGCAGAGGGCCTGAGATCCCTCAGAGCTGGAATTATAGACCATTGTGAGCCACCCAGGCGTGGGTGCTTGGAATCTGACTCAGGCCCTCTGGAAGGGCAGGATGCATCTTAACCACGGAGCGGTCCCTCCCTCCGGCACCTGCTCTCTTCATATTCTGTTCTTCTGAAATGAGTCATAAACTCCAGCCCACACTCAGAAAACTAGGAAGCAGGGTGGAGGAGGGGGATGGGTGGGCGTTGAGCGTGACATCCCAGATCAAGGGGCATTTCTATACATTACTGAAATTTTGTAAGGAAGATTCTCCCCCTCACATTTAAGAACTTACTTATGTACTATGAATGGACACAGAGGAAAGCGGAGCGAAGTGAAGACTAGGTCCAAAAGTAAGGAGGCTGTGGACTGGTGTCAGGGCGAAAGCGATACTGTTTAATTTCTTTATGATTCAGAGATGAGAGCTTGGACAAATATACCTGGGTGATGACTAAATCTGTGAGTGTGATATTCTGTGTCACCCAGCTTTGGGACCGATTGTGTCACATGACGAAGCAAATGCACAGATCACACAGGGACAGAAACTGGCCCCTCTCTTGGGACCTCACCGAATTAAGGAAGCTGAAGGGACCCAAGAGGGATGCTGCTGCACACACGCTCCTGGCTCGTCCCACATAGGCTGAGTACCTCAGCCAGCAGTCAGTTCTCAGCTATCACGGATGCTGAGACTCAACCGCAGTGGAGGGGCGGAGATGCAAATGAGGAGAGAGGATCTGCAACAACCAATGAGAGAAGAAAAATCCAAAGCCCCCACACCCAACTCTGGATGTAGCCCCAGAGCTCAGCAGTACCTGGCACCAAGTTGGGGCTCTACAAATGTTTCCGAGTGGATGAGTGGCCATTTCCTCCTCTGCAAACACAGAAGGGAACAGGAACAAGAGTATAGTATTTCGGTGTGTTCGGACAAAAAAATAAGCCAAAATAATAAATGCATGTTCCTAAAGATTGGCGTGCTTACTGTTCACGATGCTGAAATCACAGACACCCCTGAGCTACACACAGCTCGCTGGTCTGAGGATATTCGGGTGGGCTGACGAAGCTCTTTCTCTAAAACACCACTAGACAGATACCGAGAAATCCGTGGGCAGTTCTCTGGGGAGTACCCTTTGTCATGCTCAGTGACTTGTAATCTTCCTCTAACCCCGTCTCTCTGCTTGCTGTCTGTTGGTTTGGGATCTGGGGGGAGGGGAGTTCCAGCCCATCCGGGGAGCACTCAAGAGAGAGGTTCCATGCTGGTCATTCTGCCACAGGTGGATCCTAGAACTCCCGCGGAAGGGCAGGGCTGAGACCCATCGGTCCTCAAGGTTACTGGATTTTTGAGCAGGTTCCAGTTTCATGTTGAGTTAGGTAAAACTCTCAAGCATGAGAAAGATCCGTATAGGTCTTCCCACACACCTGGAAGCTCACATTATCTACAAGAATAAGAGTGGTGAGCATAGACAGTGACGCTCGCCAGGTGTGGTGGCCTGCAGCTGTATTCTTAGCACTCAGCAAGCTGAGGCGGGAAGATTGTTGCCTGCCTGGGCTATAATAATTCCAGACTAGCCTGAGCTGAGGTGTGAAATGCTGTCCTGGTTGGTCGTTTGTCTACTTGACACAAGCTAGAGTCATTTGAGGAGAGGGAGCCTCGATTGAGAAAGTGCCCCTGTAGCTAGAGTTTTCCTGCCATAGGAGGCTTCTTGCTAACTGTTCTTATAGCTTAAATTAATCCATTTCCATAAATCAATACCTTGCCACGTGGCTCGTGGCTTACCGACGTCTTCACATGCTGCTTGTCATGGCAGTGGCTGACAGTGTCTCTCTCTGCCTTCCTGTCCCTCAATTCTCCTCTCTGTTAGTCCCGCCTATACTTCCTGTCTGGCCACTGGCCAATCAGTGTTTTATTTATTGACCAATGAGAGCATTTTAACATACAGACCATCCCACAGCATGCCCCCAACAGATTTGTCTGTGGGCAAAGCTGTGGTGCGTTTTCTTGACTGATAGATAGATATGGCAGAGCCCAGCTCACACTGGGGTGGTGCCGTCCTTGGGCTAGTGGTTTTGGGTGCTATAAGAAGAAAGACTGAGCAAGCCAGTAAGCAGCACCCCTCCATAGCCTCTGTATCAGCTCCTGCCTCCAGGTTCCTGCCCTGTTTGAATTCCTGTCCTGACTTCCCAAAGTAATAGACTGTGATATGGCAGTGTAAGCTCAAATAAACCCCTTCCTCCCCAAGTTGCCTTTGGTCACGGTGTTTTATCACAACAATAAAAACCCTAACTAGGACGGATCCTGTCTCAAAAACAAAAACCAGTAGTTAAAGTGCTTGTCCTGTATGCATGGGGGCCTGAGTTTGGATCTCCAGCCTTGCATCAAAGGCAGGCGTAGTAACATATCCTGCAATCCTTTCGCTGGAGAGGTGGAGACAGGAGGATGCCTGGGTTCAATGTTGCGGCCCGCTCCTCGGCCAGCGAGGAAGAACGACCACCGCTGAGGATTCTTCTCAGATCACACTTTATTGGAGCACCTCTTGATTAAGGGAGAGCGGGAGGTGAGGGGCCCCGAGAACTAAATTGCAGCTGCTTATATAGGGAATCAGGCAAACGTGCCGTACTGTGATTGGGTCCCGCCAGAATGCAAGCACAGGGAGCCACGGGATAGGCTGAGGACATAAGGCCAATTACCATACTCGCGCATGCGCGGACCTTAGGACACGTAGTCCTAGGAGCATAGCCAGTTATGGAGTTGTTTACAGCTGGGCTACCAGGAAGTCAGCGCCATCTTAGAATGGCGGCTCCCTACACAATGTGAGATCTTGTATTAAAAAAAGAAAGAAAGAAAGAAAAAGGTGAAGGGTGGACAAGATGGCTTACCAGGTAGAAAGCATTCGCTATGCAAGCGCGATGACCGGAGCCGATCACCGGAACCCAGAGTGGAAGGAGAGAGCCGACTCCTGAAATTTATCCTCTGAGCTCCGCACATGTGCCAGGCACAGACACGCCTGCATTCGTGCGCACATCACACAGACGCAGGTAATAATAATAAATTACTTTTTAAATGTTAAGGGGGAGAGTAATCAAGGAAGTTACCCACTTCTGGCCTCCGAACACACACAGGAACGCACACACGTACAAAATAAACAAAAACAAATCCACATCAGGAAACCGAGCCCATCTGAATGCAATGTCCTTTTGTCATGAACTCACAAGAGCACATCCAAGAACATCTATGCCTGAGAAAAGGGAGAGTAAGTATGTTTCAGAGACGGGACCTTTGGGCACAGATATAGTAAGGACTGAGGACACCAAGCCAAGCACCACAGACATACAGGTAGGTCTAGCCGGGACTTCAGCTTATGAGCAGAAGCCAAACAGTACTGCGAAGACACACCAGGCCACTCGATGAAGAGAGCCTGTCATCGATTTCCTGGAATGATTGAATGAAAGAGCTGGAAATTTTCCACTGGCAATGGACAGTTTCAAAAGGTGTTTTACTGTTTGTGTGCAAACATCCTGGCTGATAGTTTACAGACAGTCCCATTGTCCCGAGGCCACCGGGTTTCCCTTGCAACTGACACCATCTCCCTGCATAAACATTCTGGCCAGGAAGTTCTGTTTGGGTCTTTTCTTCTTCTTTTTTTCTTTTTATTTTATGTGTGTGGGCGTTTTTGCCTACATGTATGTCTATGTGCTGTGTGCATGCCTGGTACTCACTCACTAGCATGCAGAAGAGGATGTTGGGACCTCTGGAACTAAAGTTACAGACAGGTGTGAGCTGCCACGTGGGTGCTGGAAAGTGAACCCGAGTCTTCTGGAAGAGCAGCCAGTGCTCTTAACCACTGAGCCATCTTACCAGTCCCTATCTGGGCCTCATAATGGAGAACTTTAGGTGCTTGGACTGCTGAAGTTGCTGACACAGCATAAGGATGGAGTAGAAGTAAGAGCATACCAACTCCAGTGCTGTGGAATGTCTTTCTGTACGCTGTGAATGTGTGTTGCTATGATTGGTTAATGCAGAAGCTGCTCTGGCCTATGGCGAGTCAGGTTCTAGCCAGGCAGGAAATCCAAGGGAGAGACAGGAAGGAGAAAGGAGAGTGGGAGGAGACGCCGCCCAAGGAGCAACATGCCAGCAGACCGGTAACGCTACGGCCACATGGCAATACATAGATTAATAGAAATGGGTTAATTGAAGATGAAAGAGCTAGTTAGCAAGAATTCTTAGCCATAGGCCATACAGTTTGTAATTAATATTAAGCCTTTGAGCGATTATTTTATAAGCGGCTGCAGGACTGAGGGCGAAAGAGATTTGTCCCAACAACGGACTGGGCAAGATACAGGAAATCTTTCGACTACACTCCAGCGAACAGTCTACAGAACAAGGACAACCCAAGGAAAAGGCAGCAAAGGAGACAGACACAGTATGAAGAGATGTCTAGCCTTCCATCCCATTCCCATCACCCCTCAGCTATCTGCAGGCCTAAGAGAAGAGCCAGTGCTTCAACAGAAGTGACCCTCGGGTCCCAGACATGTAACCTAGGCAGCTGTCACCACAGCCTGAGGTGGGACACCTGGTGTGCAGGTGACAGGGCACGGCCCAGCTGTGTGGCTAAGTGGACCAGGACACAGGGAAGCCACAAGGAGTCTCCGGCTTTTGCCCTCGGCGACAGGCAAGTGCAAAATTCAAGAAGGAAAAAACAGATTCAATAAACCAGGAAAGGAAGACAACGATATCTTCAGTGATGAACTACATTCGGTGATGAACTACTGAGCTCCTACCCCAGGCACAGGTCTGAACTTCCCAAATCAACAAGTATCAGGGCTTTACTCCCGTTGAAGCCCAAGAAACAGATTGTACTCATTTATAAGATTTGTTTTGTTTTTGTGTTTGAGGCAGGGTTTCTCTGTGTATCCCTGGCTCTCCTGGAACTCACTCTATTAGACCAGGCTGGCCTTGAACTCAGAGATCTGCCAGCCTCTGCCTTCTGAGTGCTGGGATTAAAGGTGTGTGCCAACACCAACACCAGGCAATTACAAGATTTTAAAAGACCAAAAAGAGAGAGAGTGCTCAAGTTAGCCATCAGAAGAGGGAGGGGGAAAAAGATGGGAATGTAGTTCATTTGGTAGAGTGCTTTACCCTCCAAACACAAAGCCCTGGGTTCAATCCCTTGTACCCATAAATAGAGCATGGAGGTGCATGGCTGTAATCTCAGCACTTGGGAGTTGAAAACAGGAGGGTCACGAGTTCAAGCCTATTCACAGCTGCAGAGGAAGTAGAGGCCAGCCTGGGCTACTTATGAACATGTTTAAAAAAATCAAGTTTCTGGGGCTGGAGAGATGGCTCAGTGGTTAAGAGCACTGGCTGCACTTCTAGAGGACCCAGGTTCAATTCCCAGCAACCACATGGCAGCTCACAGCTGTCTGGAACTCCAGTTCCAGGGGATCTGACACCCCCACACATTAAATAAAATTTTTTAAAAAATCAAGTTGCTAAAATATTTTTCCTTCAATCTAAATAAGCTTTTAATTATATGAACAATGATGTTTTAGCTCCTGGGTTCTGGATAAGGTCAGGGGAAAGGAAATTTGGGACACCCTAAAAGCTAAGCTGAATAGTTGAAGAAGAGCATCCTGCATTGACCCCTCAGTAAAAACACCAGCAGTCCTAAGTTCCTTTTTAAAACTTGTTTATTTATATATATATATATATATATATATATATATATATATATACATATATAGTCTGCCTACATGTATATCTAGCATGTATATCTAGTGTGGGTGCTGGGAATTGAACTCGGGTCCTCTGCAAGAGCATCAGTGTCCGTAACCGCTGAGCCGTCTCTCCAGCCCCGTAGGCACCCCTTTCCTAGTGAACATTTGTGCTATGTTTGTTCTGATCGCCGTTCTAGTACAAATTGTTTCAGGTTTTTGTGTATGTTTGTGTGCACGTGTGCACAAGCTATGGAAGCCACAGTCCCTCAATCCCTTCTTCATGTCATGTGTGAGACAGTCTCACGCTGGACCTGGAGCTCACAGATTCAGTTAGTCTGGCTGACCAGGGAGCCTCGGGGTCTTCTCTCCCCAGCACTGAGATTATAGATGTAATCGCCACGGGTAGCTTTTGTAAGACGGTTCTGCGGCTCTAAACCCAGGTTCTTAAGTTTATGCAGCAAGTACTTTCTCACCCGGACCATCTTCCCAGCCGTTGATGATGCTTTAATACAAGTATGATCACCCGGGCAACAAATGACAGTTGCTGCTTTTTCTCCTCCTCCTCCTCCTCCTCCTCCTCCTCCTCCT